AGAGAGGATGGTCCCAATGGTGCAGGTGGCTACAATGTCCTCTAAAGAGCTGGCAGTGAAGGCCTCGCCCCATGTGTTGTTGGAAGAAATATTGGGGTTGCTTCTGAGTGGGCTGCCGCTCTCTGTGTCGGTGGCCACTCTGATGGTGGAGGAGGTAGTGCCATCCATTCTCTTAAAAGATCTAGCTTACATGCCTTGGACATTCAGCAGCAGGCAGTATCCGATTCTTCAAAGAGAAGAGGGAGTGGAAGAAAGTACTGTTTAGCTGAGATTAATTTCTGCTGAAATGTCAGAAACACCTGTGATCTTCAGCTTGTATTTATTCTAGAGAAAGGGCAGAAAAAACACTGTAAGGCAGAATACCATAATGCTTTGGCTACAAAATGTGTGAGGCTTATAGCGGTAGGTAAGCTGATACAGGTACCATTATACTATGTCACCAGCAGGCAGCAGACACGAGGACCATCTGTAAAGTATAAGAAATCTCTTACTGTAAAGCAAAAGACTTTATTTTACCTAAATAGATCCGCTATTTCTTTACCTAAATAGATCCGCTATTATGACAGGAATTTTCATATAATGGGTGAATGCTGACACTTCAAAAATATTTTTTCACTTAATATTATGTCCAGGCTTGCAGTTAATTGTATGGATCTCATTTCCCTAATTTTCATAACAAATGCTTGCAAAATGTTTTGCTACTGTGCTCTGGTGTTTTATTTCTGACATTTATTAGATCGTCTTTCTTTAAGAGAAGCCCATTCTGTTGTGACTTGGAGATTAGTCAAGATGATCTCCTGGGATCTCCTTCCATTCTTGATTCAAGAATATTTCCTGGAAGAAGATTGATGGGTCTATAACTTGCCAAGCAGATTTCATCAGAGCACAGGATTTAGCATGGGCTCATTTATGGATAGATATACTTGTTTGTCTAATCAGTTTTAATGATTATCAAGTATCCAAACTCTTCTTCCCCAAGGCATGTGCTGTTCATTGTCTGTGATAATGCAAACTAAGACTGTCTGAGAGAGACATTCTGCTGGGCTGGAGTAAATAAATACAGTCAGCCACTGTATTTATTAAGAAGGGCAAATAGTACAAAATGTCAGTGAGCCTCCAGTTTCTCAGTCAAAGAAAATCCAACGTAAGCCTTGGAACTTTGGAAATCTCACTGTTCATAATAATGTAATAACATACATGGGATTTTAGTAAAAGTGGTTTCTCCCCATTCCCACTAAAGATTTGGAGAGTATATATCTGAGCCCTGATTATATATTTTTTTCTTCAGTATCTCCAAAGAACATATGATAACAAATCCATAGAAGGCGAAACTTCTATGATAGAAATGGTAGATCTTGCAAGTGTCATCAGTATTCCTTATCACAATTCCTTATAGTAGAGAGCAGTGCAACTTTTATCTGGCTCTCGCAAAGGTTTACACCGATTGATTGATTGATTGATTCATTCATTCATTCATTCATTATCACCCTTCTTCAACCTGCTGGCCACACTGCCTAGAAGATTATGGGAACTGCATTCCAAAGCATTTAGAAAGCACTAGGTTAGAAAAAGTACTTATGTGTTGACAGTTATTTCTTAGGAGTGGGAAAGTGTGAAGTTTTTTTCTTTTAAACTTTCCCTCTTGGAGACACAAATTCTCTACCTCCCCCCACCCCCTGCAATTTTCAGTCACCAACAGTTCTTTGATATACTTCAAGACAATTAGATCAAGTTATTTATAGACAATAAGATGGTCTGTTCAGTCCACTTACTTTTGGGGATATAATACAGCAGTAATTTAAAGAGTTCAGTGTGATGCCTATTTTCTCAAACTAAATCCCATCGAGAACAATGGGGTTTACTTACAGGTACATATCTATAAAATGCAGCCTAAATACATATAAGCATTACTTCCTCCTAACCTATCAATTCTGAGCATTTAAGCTTTATATTAAGCTTAAGCTCAGAGTCTTTTGGAGTAGTCAACTATAATAAATTTAATAAATCATCATCATCCTTTTCGGTTTGTCAGTAAGAGTGAGACACGCACCTCCATCAAAATGGTATTTCATATCTTTCTGAGCTCTTTGCAAAGTCAACTAAACAAGATAAACAGAGAGTAAAATGGATAGCTTGCTAAAATGAAAACAGACACTTGTTCCTGTTTGCAAGGATAATCATAGAGTGTTGCTTAACAGATTGTGTATTTTGGTAATATTATAGCACTCCATCAACAAGCTGTCCTTCTTGCTCCCCAGGTGCCATGACTTTGTTTCAGACAATCAACCTGCTAAATCACTTATGTCTTAAGAAGTTACAGGATAATGGAAATTGAAAGTTCAGATCCAAACCTGATTTCAGTGAAAGCCAATTGAAGGAGTTTCTGCTTATAGGGAAATGTCCTAGACAGAAATCTTGGCTGGGGTGTCAGAAAGATCTCAAAGAAGCAACACAACAGCCATACTCATAGCATCTTGCATGGCTATGTGAAAAAGAGAAGGAGAAATTCTTCTTAGGTAACTAGGTATGACAATTTCCCTCCCAGTTCTTGTACTCATTTGTGCTGCTCGGTGACATTGGACATTGTAGATTGGCAAGGACAGAAAGCTAATAAGCTACAAAAGTAACAATAGCATTTCAAAAGCCAAAGCTGTTGTAAGACAGCACTCTATCAACTAGTACATGGTCAGCAAACACATAACAAGTCAATACTGTTTCTTTGTGGCACTAAAAGGCTGAAGTGACTTGCTCTATTCTTTGAACACAAGCATTTGTTCTATGCATCTGATGAAATGAACTGCATCTCACAAAGCTTCTGCCTTTTAATGGAATGCATTAGTTGGAAAAGGTGCTACCAGACTCCTTTTCTGGCCACTGTAGATTAACACAGCTGTTCTCCAGCAAAGTTTTTTCTTCAAAAATTTGTGAGAAAGAAAACCCATATTCTTCACCAAAGCCTAAGAGAGAGATTAGAGTATTAAAGAAACAGGTTTCAGGATAAGCATAGGTGAAATTCCCAAGGGGAGTTGCTCCAAAGAACACTGGGATTAATTCCAAAAGAGAGAGTTTGTTGAATTAGGACTACCAGTTCTGGCCTGTAAAAATTCAGTAGATGGGAACCAAGATAGACAGAAAACTTGAACTCTTTGATAATTTTTTGTAGTCCAGATCTGGAAGACCTAGTTATTGATAGGTGACTGGCTGTGAGAGATCTTCACTAGCATCTCTCAGACATGTTATGCTAATGATAATAAACCACTGTCCAAACAGGGATAATCTGTTTAGATGGAAAATATTGCTTCCAAAGCCATGAGCTCTAAAGGGATAGGATGTTGTGGTAACAAATAGGATCTTGTACCATGCTTGGGTATGAAGTGTGTACCAAATAAATATACTGAACATTAAATACTAATACATTACATTGCACCGTATTCCTTGAGATACTAGAAGGGATATTTATTTACTCACTTTATCTCTATGCTGCCACAATCTGCATGAATTTATGGCAGTATACAATAAAACCAGAATAAAAAATTATAATAATAATAATCACAAAACTAATTCAAATATAATAATGCCTTAAAATCATCAAAGCATTTAATATTTTACCTTTAACACCACCACCCCCAGGAGAAAAAAAAAGGCATACCAATGACAGATCTTAACTAAAGGCTTAAAGATCTCAACAGTACTATTTTAAAGGCTTTCCTAAAGATCAGGTGTGATGGTGCAGTCTGGATTTCCAGGGGGAGACCACCCCACAGGGTGGGTTCCATTGCTGAGAAACCTAAGCAATTGGTCTCCCTTGGATCTCACATATAACTACTCTATATAACAGTGTTTCTCAACCTTAGCAACTTTAAGATGAGTAGATTTCAACTCCCAGAATTCCCCAGCCAGCCGAGCTGGCTGAAAGCAGGCAGCAAACCCCACACTCACTGATGATGTTACCTAATTGGGTAATGAAATGTCTGCATGCAAACAACCAAGTTGAGAGAGCACCAAGAAGTCCACAGTTCAATCCTGAGCTACAGATAGTCTTTTCTATTTTGAGAGGAGCTGAACATGCTGTAGGGAATGGAAAAGTCTTGTGTAAGTCAAAATAACATTACTGAGTTTAAACAGATTGACAGTTCAGGAAATAAATCAATAAGCTAATTTGTGAGGTCATCAAAGGACAGCCAAGTATTTAATATATAATATGATAATATATAATAATAAAAATATAATACATTTTTACTCCTGGGGCAAGTGGCTGTGGGCTTTTTTGGTGTTTTGCTTTAATGCTTAAATAACTTGGCTAGATTTGGGTATTTGCACACCAATTTGGGGGGAAGGGCACCATTTCCAATTCTACCTCAGGCAAGAAAATATCTTGGATTGGGACAGTATTAATGTGCCCTGTGAGCATCTATCAAAAAAGATCATCATATATCTTGCTTAACTGATTTTTATGGCTGTTTCTTTCATATTCACTGGAAAAAAAATGGATGAAAGTGACTAAGCAACAGTGGAGGTATTGTCTTACATAGCTGAGTCCTACAGAATTGGTTTGACTGATAGAGTCCTTTGCTTCAAGTGGTTCAGCCCAGCTATTAATCTACTGAGAATTCTTATCCCATTCAGTACTTGCAACCTGGGGATTCTCACACTGGAGACTGTTTTACTGAGAGGCTTTGAAAATTACTGAGTTTAAGCTTTGAGCACTTAAAGACATATTGAGTATTATTTGTAAGAATTATTTTTGCAGGGCAGGCTGGAAGAATGGCAAATTCAAAGGAACTGTATTTTAAAGCTTGGTAAAGGCTTGAAAGAACACTTTTTGAATGCAGAACTATGTTCATCAGCCAAAGGAGAATCATTTTATACATTCTGAGTGAATATATGAAGCATGCTAAGAATGAGCACATTTAATTAACCCTCACAATGAGAAGTAAAATGAATGTTTATATTTTGTGAGTTATCGTGTGGCTTTCTAATATCATTAGTTTGCATGAGTAGCTAAGCAAACGAGAAAAGAGTTACTAAGAAAATATTGTTAGCAGGGTGGAAGAAACTCTTTCCCTGGGACAAACATTTGTCTGAGACAACTTGATATATCCATGGCTTAACAGAACAGGAAGAATGTGTGGCTATATGAGAAGAAGACATCCTGGTCCTTCTTGCTG